CGTATCATACATTGCTTTTAAATTATTCTCTCCCTTATCTGTTTCAGTGCAGTATACACAATTTATCCAGTTTTTCTCAGTCTTACCCCAACCCTGATATCAGTCCCATTTTACAGCAGTGTCACCATGCAGTATTTGTCCTTTTGTGACTGAGATATTGCAATCAGCATAATGTCCTCCAGGGTCACCCATTTTGAATAATATTGCAGGAGTTCCTTGTTTTTCAATGCAGCACAGTATTCCATTGTGTGAAGATATCACAGTTTCTCTATCCATTCATTTGTTGATGGGCACCTGGGTAGTTTCCAACTCCTTGCTATTGTGAACAAAGCCACAATAAACATGGGTGTGCATATATCTGCTTGAATGTCAGTTATGGTCTCTTTGGGATATATTCCCAGTACTGCAATTGCTGGGTCAAATGGTATCTCTATTTGCAACTTCTGAGAAAGCACCATACTGCCTTCCACAGTGGTTGCACCATTTTACACTCCCACCAACAGTGAATAAGGGTTCCAGAATCTCCACAACCTCACCAGCATTTGTTGCTTGCTGTTCTGTTAAATTTTGCTATTCTTACTGGGGTGAGATGATATTTCACAGTTGTTTAGATTTACATCTCTCTTAGAGCTAGGGATTTTGAACATTTCTTCATGAGCTTGTTGTCCATCTGAATGTCTTCTTTGGTGAAGTGTAAACTGCACTCTTAACCTAAAGATAGGTGATTTTAAATTTACTAGTAGCCACGAGGTGAAAAAAAAAAGACGAACAATCTCCTTCTGTAAAGATGAGCAGCCTTAGAAACCCAATCCAAGGTTGCCATGAGTTAATCTACTCAGAGGTGGTGGGTTGTGGTTTTTATATGCAATAGATAACAAAACATTTTATGAATCAAATTATCCTAAAACCAGGGAATTTCTATGGCATCTTAAGCTCTTGGCTACTCATCAAAAGATCAGGGGTCAATTCTATCAGCCACCCTACCAAAGACATATGTGGTAGTTTGCTACAAGAAGACTGACAATGTTAAAAACCCTATTGTGGTTGCTGGGGTCAGTAAGAATTATAATCTGTTAAACAGGAACAGGCTGATTTTTTGGGTATTCCACAACTAGAAGCCAATTACAAACTCTCAAGACTAGCAAGGAATTCTGCGAAAATCCTTCTTGTAGTTCAATCCACCAGCTACTCTGAGGGACATATATACGCAATCTTCATCTGCGCAATTTTACAGCCTCTGAAAACCTAGTGAAGGTAGGCTGTGAGTTGGCTCTGACTCCATAAAGCATTGAATTCATGTTTTTAAAACTAGAAGCCACTTATAATAATCTCATTTCTAAACTCTGATGTTTTAGTGGTAAGGAATTACCCTGCCATCCCACCAAACTGTTCCAAGGAAAAATGGGCAGTTTTGTCTTGTGCAAATTTACTGTTTTTGAAAAGCTGTTGGGGGTCAGCTGTGAGTTGGTTCCTACTGGACAGTGCAGAAGAACAACTGTTACAGCAGATGCTAAATGCTAAAAAACATTTTCTACTTGAACTCAAAATACACAAAAGATCAGTACCAGTTCATGAAACATGGAAGGTCTCAACCATTTCATTTTTAAGTTTTATGTACATGATAAAACTGACAGCAACAACTTGAAAGATTAAACAGGAACCATAGGGGGCAGTGAGTTTACGTCAATAAGGGAAGAACAATGCAGAAAAGAAGGGCAACCAGTTTCACAATCCAAAGAATGTAAATCAATGTCATTGAACTACCCGAGAGAAACCTGAATTACTGTTTAATTTTGCTGTGTATGTTATCAACAAATAAATTAATAAAGAAAGATGCAAGATTTCCATACGCATTACTATTTCCTACCTCATTAGACTTGTCACAGAATATTGAAGAAATGCATGAGCATTGAAAGATTAGGATTACAGCCACTTGAAAATTAACAACTACTTTGTAAATATTATCTTTATTATTAATTTGTCTGTGATGCAACAATAAATGATTCTAGTCAATGCAACATAAATATAGTATAAGCCATTACTTATTCATTAGCCTAAACCTGGCTTTCAGAACCCGCAGTCTCAGTCACCTTCAACAGCTACTTACAGTAATACTTTAAAATCTATTCCAACCGAAGCTAGTTTACTAACAAAATCCAGATGTCATATATACAGCAATATCTAATACAAACATTTGTTTCCTTTGAAAACAAAGGAACTAAAAATTACATTTTGTAATTCATGCTTAAATAATTCCACCAGGGCTGGACATAAAAACATTCTTTGTAAACAATGACTGGTTCATCTAAATCAGATCAGAAATATGTTAACCAACAGCAAAATCACTTAACAATATAGAGAAATCTTATTTTCAAAGGCCTGCATAGGAGGGCTTGCTTTCCAGGGCTGTGTCACAGGGAGCAAAACAAAGCAGTCTAAAGAAAGAGGGGAGCTTTTAAGAACCTACTCGTCAGTCCTTCAATAATTAAACTTCCAGGAAGGGCACTGAACAAGTCCACCTAGTTGAATTCTGCAAGCAGGCACCAGAGAACTATTTAGTTATCCTTTAGGTTATTAACTATCCAGTTTTTGATATGTAACAACTTCTCTACTTTTCCAGAGTGGCTTGAAGAATGAATTCTATGTTTTTTGGGGGGAGGGGAATAAAACAGATTCACAAAGGTTTAAAAGACGTATAAAAAAAAATTACCTACTCAAAACTGTATACAAAGCCCAGAAAGACAGTCCATTGAGCACTTTCCATTATAAAAACTCTCAAAATCCTATAGTTGATTCTCCCAGCTGGAAACTGTTTTACCCAACAAACAAAACAAAAACATGTAGTGCAAAAATTTCTTTAACTTCAAAGTGTAGGATACTCAATATTTACAACAAAGTCACATCAATCTAACATATATTACTGGTCCTCAAGCAAATACTGTCAATCTCGAAATAATAAAATTAATTTAACACAAGGTCCTTTCACTAGCTTATTATTAACATAAAACTAGACACTTGAAATAGCTTACTTTTCGAGAATATGGATACCCAGTTTTTCAAACACTTTTCCACTCAACCCTTGTAAAGCCTATGACTAGCACTTTGGAATTCCCTCCATCCCGTAGTAGTACAATCATGGTAACTTCTTACTGCCCTCAAAAGTTGCACATTCTCAAGAACAGTTTAGTCTTAAATAGATCTTACGCCATCTGGAATAGCAAACGTCACTAGAATTCAGGGACAATGAAGTAATAGATAGCTACAGCTTGTAGTAGTCGCACACTTTGCTTTTATTTTAAAGCGAAGTTGAAAAATATGGTGAAAAATGAATTTCTCCCTCTCAATGACGCGATCACGTTTATAGTGGGGAGGGTCTGGTCACGAATTCACGAAAATTTCAGGGAATAACCAAATTTTCAGGGAGTAACTAAACAGGATGCAGAAGAGGAAAGTTTCAAACACTCAACAGTTTATGCTTTTTGTAAAAAGTCCTTGCGGGACCTGGGAGTTCCCAAACCCAGTCCTCCCCCGTCTAGGGCTCCTTCCTCTCCCTCTCTCCCGCCCCCAAGCCTGGGAAGTCCGCACTCAGACCACACTGGGACAGTACTCACCGAGTTTTTCCACCAACTTGAGCATCACCCCTCCAATGTGCACCTCCCCGGTCACTCTCAGGGTGACATCCCGGTTCAGGTCCGTCACATGGACACTCAGTTCCCACGTCCCATCCGCATAGCAGCCATCTGGCATCCTTATCCCGTCCAGAGCCATGGCTCCTTCCTGCGAGAGCGGAGGAAATGGCTCTCGTAAGCGTCACTCCCCCAAAGGCAGGCAAAGCCCAGCAAATTCCGAGTGGGATGTGGGATGGGAGTTAAGTGGAGGGCGCGGAGGTTTCCGCGCAAACTCGGCAGCCCCGCCGCCGGGAAGCGAGGACGGCGCCCAGGGCCCCTTCCCGGCGGCCGCCCCGCGCCCCCACCTCGGCCTTCGGCGGGGCGCTGCGCCCCTCGCTCGCCCGGCCCCCGCCTAGCGGACCACAGCGGGCTTCACCTGCCGGACGCACCCCGGGCCCGGAGACGCTGCGAAGGCTGGCAATCCTCCTCCCCACCCGCGCCCCCCGTCAGACACCGCCCGGGAGCCTAGCCCCTCACCGCGCACTCCTCGCGCTCCCGGCCTGGTGCCCCGCAACAGGCGCGAGGGTGGCGGCTCGCAGAGCGGCGACGTCCGCGTCCCTCTCTCCTCAAGCAGCCGCAGCGCGCTGCCTCCCCGTCCCAGCGCCTAATGGAGTCCGGTGGCAGCCCCTCGCCTACCTCCCCCCTCGCCCCACCCCTCTCTCCCCGCCCCTGGGGCTGAGTCCGGCTCGGGCTGGGCGCGCCAGCTCCCTCCGCCTCTGCCCAGCGGAGCGGCCGCAGCGGGGCGGGCCACGTCTCCTCCCCCACCCTCCCCTGCGGCCGCTCGTCCAGGGGGCTGCGTGGACTCGCGGGCTGGGGGCGGGGCGGGGAGGCGTGCGGCGGGGGGAGGTGGGGGGCGCAGGCGGCGGCAGCAATCTCAGCCCCGCGGAGCCACTGCCCTTTTATGGAAATGAAGGACCGGGCGCCGGGATTGAATCCAACATCCGGGCTCTCCGCGGCGGGACCTGAGGAGGGGGAGCGAGGGGAGCGCGGGCCGCGGTGCCGCTCTCCTCGGGGGGTGCAGCTGGGTTTCGGCTCGCTCCATTCTGTGCGTTCTCCTCCGCTGTCCGCCCGCGGTTCGTCGACCACTTTGCAGTTTTGTGAGGGCCCCTGGCGTGGCGGTGGGTGTGTGTGCTTCCAGCTGGCCGGGGTGGGCCTGTCCGCAGAAATGGCCTCAGGAAATTCCCAGACCGATGTCGGCTCTAGGGAACAAAGTCCTCCGCCCCCTACCCAGACCTGGACCGCATCCATGCGTCTCGGCGCGGTGGAGTGTGCCTCACTCCGGGAGTCGGAGAGAAGGGTTTGGGATGGGGAAAAAAAAAACACCCAACAAACAACCCAAAACTTTAAAAAACCAAAGGTCCAGTTTAGCCCAGTGAGCAGACCACAAAAGAATGAGAAAACCCAGAGGGAAGGTGAACCACAAAACTTGCCCTGCAAGCAATGTCCGGCACAATCAGCAAGCAACTCTCGCTGGTCTCCCGGGAGCTTGTGCGCCCTTAACCTATAACCCTCTGAAGTTCTGGCGAGTTAAGTTTGTCTGGAGGTGCTCAACCTTGAACAACGTTGATTGTTAATAAACTCAGGAGCATGCATTTCACTCAAAAGTTTCCCCCAAGTCTCAATTCTTTCAACGTATTCGTGTATTTTACGTGCGATTTAGAACTAACAGTCGACTAAATGAACATACTCCCTCGCCTTCAGTCACGCCTTGAAGGAATTTTAATAGCTCTGGCATGGTTCCTGCAGACACAGGGAAAAGCGAAAGAATTCTACCTGTTGGGAGACTGACTAGTGATGGAGAACTGGTAAGCCTGCTTCCTACTTGACTTCCACTTCCCCTATTTGCTGTTGAGGATACGCCAATCAGCAACAGCAAGTCAGAGACACTGCGTGGCTAGCAAATGCAAAGCTTAAAAAAAAATAGTCTAGGTCAGGAAGATTCGCTCAGAGATGTCCCAGGTTCTTAGAAAAGACCCCCACTTTCAAATTCCAAGTCTTCTCAACTGTTTCTAACACTTAAAGGAACCACCTACTACTGGGCCCTTTGTTCATCAACAAATGGAAAAGAGGTGGAAGTCCTAAGGGGAGGTGGCTAAGTGGTACTTATAAAATAGTGAAAGGGAAGCAGAAATATTTAGTCAGATGCCAGAGGTTTGGCACAAAAAATAGAGAAAACCGCTACAGTGTTTTCAACTATTCATCATGGAGAAATTGATGCCTCAAGTTTCAAGTCTGTCCACCCCAGTTATTTCTGCTTATGAAAGAAGATTCAAAATAGTTCATTTGTAAGCACAAATACTTATGTCCACAGAGGAGAGATGTTTACATAAATTATGATGTTTAAAATATATCAGAAGATGCTTTATTTAATAAAGACCGGCTCATTAGTCTAAAAGTTGTACAAAATTGTACATGCAGTTGAATAAACACAAATTTACCTGTTTTGAATAGTAAGGGGAAAAGGTAGAGCGGGGAAAGACCAAAAGGTTGAGAAATTGAGGAGTGATAATTGTTTTTTTCTTTTATGAAATTGGCTGAAAGCAGGGAGTATCAGAGGAATGTCTTTCTGTGTTTCATTGATTATGCAAAGGTGTTTGTGTGGATCACAACAAACTGGCTGACTCTGAGAAGAATGGGATTCCCAGAACATTTGATTGTGCTTAGGTGAAACATATACTTGGACCAAGAGGCAGTCATCAGAACAGAGCAAGGAGACACTGCATGGTTCAAAATCTTGAAGGGTGTACGCCAGGGATGTATTCTATTTCGATACCTTTTCAATCTGTATGCAGAACATCTGGGAGGCTGGGCTGTATGAGGAGGAATGTGGTATCAGGACCGGAGAAAGATTCATCAAAAACCTACTTTATGCAGATGAAACAACACTGCTTGCTGAAACTGAGGAGGACTGAAGCGCTTGTGGGGTAGTGAGGATAGGTGTGACAGAGACAGTAAAGTTGGCACAGGATAGGGCAGGATTCAGGGCTGTTGTACATAGGGCTGCTATGAGTTGCAAGTGACTTGAGGGCACATGACAAAAACAAAAGCTTTCTACGAACTCAAAATCTTGTTGAGGAATTTCATGACACATTGAACTACATACATCATCTCATATCCTTTGTGCATATGTTCTAATGGGATGACTAATAGGATTTTCAAAAGTTAGTGTTTTTTAAAATCCCCAAATAAAAAATGAGCTCTTTGACAATGGAGACTTCAAATTCTGTGTTGTCCACAAATTTACAAATAGTTCATCTTTTAGAAACTCAATAATGAATGACTGCATGAAACATAATACAAATTAACACAAAGATCAAATATATCTATCCCTTGGAGAAACCTTATTACTGGAGAAACCTCCAGCTTTAAAACATATAGGAATTTGTTTGTTTTTTTTTCTCTCACCTTGTCCAAGATTTCTAGTAATATATAAAGACATAGAAACTATTACCATATTATTACCTATGGAACATAAAAAAAGGGGGCCATGGAAGGCAAGGAAGGGAAAAGATTTTAAATAGCTTTGGAAAGAGTCTAAAAATGATACCTTAATGGATTTCAGTTTCTTCCAGGAAGCTTCAAATAACTATATTTCTCAAACATTCCACTCTAGAAATAAAAATATCATCACCTTTCTTAGTCTTCTCTTTCCTTCAGACTAAATTATCAAAGACAGCTGTCATGTTTCAGAAATTCTTTTACAGCTCACGTTTCTGCATTATAATATCTTTCTAATTTCTGACTGAGAATTACTTTCTAAACAGCCTTCCACTGTTCTATGTGTTGTCCTCTGACTACTGTGCTCTTTTAACCCACTTTTATGAATGTTCTTTATGTTTAATAACACAATGGGAAATATTATAACTGCCCCATTTCTCAATATTTGAAATAATAGCTTTATAGGAAATTTTCTTACTCACTTTAGAAAGTCAGCAGCTAAATGCACAAGAAGGCAGTGACCCCCTCAGTTAACTATGAAGGGAGAAAGAATTCTATTAGGAAGGGTGCAGCTGGTCCCTTCAGGCCTTCTTTGGACTATTTCAAGCTGTTGCTTGCTTTGAAGATTAAAGGGAGCCAGACTCTGATCTCTTAAACTCTGGGATTTTCCTTTTCTTCCCCCTAGTTTAAATGAGGCCTTGATGTGTGTTTCTTAAATGTTTACTTCTACCTAAGGATTGCCAATGCACTCATGTGTAGGATCCAAGCTGAAATCCTCTCCAGAACCTCTAAGACAATGCAATACTTGTGGTGCTTACATCATGCTGAAAAGTAGCAGAGAACTCCAGTGTTTGGAAGAACAGCTCAAGCATTGAAAGCAGCAATATCCAAATAAGGTACCAAGCACTGGACTTCGATTTAGACCAAATGATAGCTCCCAGAACTGCCGTCAAATGCAGCCTTCGGCTTTGGCCATCCTCAGTTTGACTTTCGCTCTTTCTCCGAACCTACTTAGATCATGCTGTATATTTATAAAAGGTTAATACATCCAAGCCATCATTCCACTTCTGGGTTACATTGTGGATTTAAAACAAAAAGTTAATACAAAATACCACAACTAACGAATTTCAGAGGGAAAAAAAAAGAGAGAAGAGGAGAAAGTAAGGAAGTAAGTGTGAGTTTGTGAAAGGGGAAGTTTAAAAATGCAGTATGAGACTAGTAAGAGTTATTGTTATGTGCCCTAGAGTCCCTTGCGACTCATAGCGACCCTATGTACAATAGTCCTAAAGCCTGTTCTATCTTGTGCCAATCACACTGCCTCTGATACACGCATCCCAATTACCCCAGTCACTGAATCAATCCACCTCATAGAGGGCCTTCCTCTCTTGTGCTGTCCCTCCAACCCTCCCAAGCATGATGTTCCTCTCAAAGGACCTGTCTCTCCTTACAACATGTCTAAAGTACGTCAGACAAAGCCCAGAATCCTTGCCTCCAAGGAGTAGCGTGGTTTAATCCTATCCAGGATGAATATGTTTGTTTTTTTGGCAGTCCATGGTACTTTCAAGACTCCAGCACCACAGCTCAAAGGCAGGCATCAATTCTCCTTCTTCCTACTCATTGTCCAACTCTCTGATGTATAACAAGTGATTGCAAAGACCATGGCCTGTATCAGACACACCTTAGTTTCCAGAGTGACACCATTGCTCTTCAGTACTTTGGAGAGGTTCCTAACAGCAGACTTTCCCCATCACAATATGTTTTTTTTATTTCCTGGTGCCAAGAGTGTTGACCGTGTAGCCAAGCAGACTAAAGTTGTTAAGAATTTCAATCACCATCCATCCTGATGCTGCCAGTTGGTCCAGTGGTAAGAATCTTTGTCTTCTTGACATTGAGCCTCAATCCATATTGAAGGCTACAATCCCTGACCTTCATCAGCAAGCATTTCAGGTCCTCCTCAGTTTCAGCAAGCAAGGTTGTGTCATCTGCATAACGCAGATTGTTGATAGATCTTCCACCAATCCTGACGCCACACTTCTCCTCATAGAGCCCAGCCTCTCGGATAATCTGCTCTGCATACAGGTTGAAAAGGTATGGAGACAGG